TAGCTTTGAGCATAAAAGCTCAGGAGCGGCTTCCAGGCTCTGAGTCCAAGCCTCAGGACCAGCACATGTGGGGACACACACACACACACACACACACACACACACACACACACACACAAAAGAAATTAAAGAAAAGAATGTTAGTGTTGAAAATGTGAATAGAGTATTTAAACCTCCAACACTGGCAGCTAGGGTGATACCACCCCTTTCACTGTGTTAGCCCATGGACGTGTGTGTGTGTGTGTGTGTGTGTGTGTGTGTGTGTGTTGGTCCTGGGGTTTGAACTCAGGGCCTGGTCACTATCCCTTAGCTTTTTCTCCCAAGCCTGCTGCTCTATGATTTGAGCCACAGCTCCACTTCTGGTTTTTTGGTCGTTAATAATTAGAGACTCACAGACCTTCCTGCTTAGGCTAGTTTTGAACTGTGATCCTCAGTTCTCAGCCTCCTGAGTAGCTAGGAGTACAGCTGTGAGCTACCAGCCTCTGGCTCTGGACTCTGTTTCTGTCTGTCTCTCTCTATTTTGTTGGTCATAGGGCTTGAACTCTAGGCCTGGGCTCTTCAGCTCAAGGCTAGCGCTCTGCCACTTGAGCCACAGCACCACTTCCGGCTTTTTGTGTTTATGTGGTGCTGAGGAATTGAACCCAGGGCCTCATGCATGAGAGGCAAACACTCTACCACTGAGCCACCTTCCCAGCCTCGTGGACTTGCTCTTTTGAGCAGCTGATCTTTCCCTCACTAAGTTCTGTGCCCCAGAGTGGATGGCTGGAGTCTCAAAGACATCACTATCCGTCTCTCAGGAGGATCTTACTGGCAGTGCCAACCACACAGACTGGGGAAAGACTGGCTCCAGGCTGGGCTAGCCTGTGCCTGCTCCTGTCCCCCGCAGGCTCCTGTGTCTTCGGATCCAACTCCACCAGGGTGTTTTACATACTTTAATTAAAGCGCCGCCCTGGGCTGGCAGGGCCTCTGATAGATGGCTGCAATCCGAGTTGCAGAGTTGCAGTGGTGTGAAACATGCCACCCAAGGATGCACTCCTGCTCTACAGAACTCTTGGCTCCCACTTCTGGAGGTGGGTCCCCTCAGTTCTGGGGTGGGGGTGGGGTAGAGGTGAGCCGAACAGGCAGCAGGCTATGGGCAGGTGGCCAGCAGGTGGTGGTGGTGGGGACAGGGGGGTGAGGGAAAGGGGACAGGGCTCAGGGACGGGAGAAGAGTTAAGGTAGGAATGCACTGTGGATGTGTCCCGAGGACCAGCTGGCTGGTGGGGCCTAGATGAATTCTGTTCTTGCAGATGCTCAGCCCTGTGGACACTCCTTAGCAGTGTCAAATTATGACAAATGGCGTGGCTAAAAGTTGCTGGGTGGCAGCTGCCGCATCTCAGAGGGAAGCAGGTATTTTTAGCCCTGCGCCTTGGGGCTCTGGCACTGGGTTAATTAATCATGGTGAACAGTACCAAGTATTGTTCTTCCTTCCTCCACCCCTGGGTGTCACGTCCCCATTTCCCAGACTGGAATACCAGCCGCAGATGTGGAAATTGCCCGCATTCCCCATGTCCCTGTGTGGCCTTGACACACACACACAGCAACCTGGGGAACCCAGACCCTGTCTGCGCTGTGCCTCTCTCCTTGCCAGCCAGCTCCTGCTTAGCATGGCCTCCAGCCACAGCGCTCCTCTGAGCTCAGTTTCCACCCTGAGCTTTTCCCCTCGCTGTTATTTCTTGAACATCAACCCCAGCTCTCTCCATCCTAGTGGCTGGAGAAAGCTGGAAGGGAGTCCCTTTGTGGCACATTTGGGAAGATGCCGGTGGTCTAGCAGCCCCCAGTCCTGAAACCTCTGCCGACAGCTCTCACTGATTCTCAGCTTCCTGTGGCCCCCCAGAATAAGGGGGACCACTGTACTCCCCTCCCCTCTGATTCCATGGAACACACTGAAAACTCATTCAAAGGCACCAGGGAAATTGAGAACATGCGATTCCATGCTAATCTCTGCTAGTGTCTGATTCACAGCTTCGGTTGTGACTGCTAGAATTTCTCACAGAAGACAAAGAGGCAATGACACACGTGTGTGCACACACATGCAGATGGGTGCTTGCTTGCACACACGTACACACACACATACACACACACAGGCAGGGTAGAGAGAAAGGGCAGAAACAAAAACAGATTGTCAAGAGACTGGAAGACAGACACCTTCTTCCTTTCACTAGTCCAGGAAATACCTATCCAGAATCTACTATATGCCCAACTGCCCCACCCCCCAATTAAATACACCACAACCCCCTGCTATTTTACATGCTCTTGGCATCTGTTCTTCTGTAATCAGGAGACTGCTGTTTCTGCTCTGACCAGTAGGTGTCACCCTATCAGCGGAGAAGCTAGGGGTGTTCGGGATTTGATAGCTACCTAGGAACATCATTTTGATTCGTTGAACTATAGGAGTGCCATGATATGCAGGACACTAGGCAGGACACCCAAGGGTAAGCAAGGTGAGAAATGCATGGTCTCTCTCCTTGTGGAGTTTACTGTGCTAAAGGAGCTGGAAGAACAAGGTCCTAAGTCAGGAAAAGGGGGACTGTGTATTAGAGCCTTCTGAGACCCCATCAGCACCTCCCCGCGTTCCAGCCCAGGATACAGGTTCCGAGCAGAGGCAACGGATGTGCAACCATGCAATACACGAGACGCTAGATCTCCCGACTTCCAGACCACCACCTATTCCGTCCTGACAGCAAGAGTGTCTTGCCATTTACAACTCCACCTCAGATTTAGCTAGAAATCTCCGCACAAAATGCCCTCTGTGCTGACCCCTAGGCAGTCAATCTTCATCTTAGAAAAAGGCAGTGGCCCTTGCCACAGGCCCTGTGGTGCTAGGGAGGGCTTGTATAGATTTGGTGTATCTTTCTGGTGACACCATGTTGGTAGCTTGAAATTGGTTTTGTGGCAGTATTTACACCATAGGAATTGGTAAAAAGCTATAAACTAGAGCTTTATTCATTACCCCTCCCGCCCCCCAGGATTGCTGCTCACCAATGAATTAGTAACTCTTCTTTGCAGAGAAGGAAACATGCTCAAGGAGATAACTTTGACATGCAGGCTACCACCAGGAATAGCTTACAAGTGGTGGAGCTAGGACTCCGACCCAAGCAATTTGGTGCTAGAGTATTTCAAGTGCTACACACTTAATATCACTCAAAGCCACTTTGATACAGAGAAGTCTAGTTGATCCCAGATGGCTTACTCTGTTCTATTCTGACAGAACAAAATGACCAGAGGATGGGCAAGCTATAAAGAACAGAAATTTATTTCCTCACAGTTCTGAAAGCTGTGAAGTCCAGGGTCAAAGTGCTGGCATCTGATGAGGATCTTTCTTGTTTCATCATCCTAGAGCAAAAGAGAAGGAAGGAGAGAGACAAAAGGAGGTGGAATTCACCTTTTTCTAATAAGGAACCCACTATGGAGATAATGACATTAATGTAGTCAGGGTGGCTCTGCCTCTTAAAGTCTTTTACCTCCTTTGCTTGGTGCCAGTTTTGGGGCTTGAATTTAGGGCCTGGGCAATGTCCCTTAGCTTTTTCATTCAAAGCTGGTGTTCTACCCCTTGAGTCACAGCTCCACTTCTGGCTTTTGGGTGATTAAGGAAATAAGAGCCTTATGACCTTTCCTGCCAGGGGATGGCTTTGAACTGTGATTCTCAGATCTCAGCCTTCTGAGTAAATAGGATTACAGGTGTAAACCACCCACATCGAGCTTGTCGCTCACCTCTTCATTGTGGTATGATGGCAATTAAGTTTCAACATGAGTTTGGGAGGGAGTAACATTCAGACCGTAGAGCCAGTTTTCTCCTGTGGGGGCTACCCCAGGTCGGTGTCATTCGTAGGACACAGGACAGTGACACCACAAGTGGAGCCCGTTTGGTTGATAGGTCATCAGTTCAGCTTTGCATGGATCATAGTTGAGGCCCATTGTTGGCAAGAGGTTTAGATTTCGAGTTCAGGAGAGAGGTCTGTGAAGAGATTGAAATCTGCAAGGTAGGTATTTGTTCTTCACTAAACGAAATGTGGATTGATTAAAAACATTCTCCTTTGTTATAATACCCAGGTAAAAAGTACAAGATTCAGTTTCTGTTTTTTCCCCCTCGTATTGGTCAATACCCAGGTATACTGGGGAACCATATACCATTGTGCACACTTGTTCCTGTGGTTCCAGTGAGCGCACAGGAAGTATTTATTGAATATGAGTAGCTCAGGTTTACCCTGGAGATGCTCTGGTGGATACATCAAGGTTAACACCTTTCTCACAGTGTGAGGATTATTGAGTTCTGGAAACATGTAATAAGAATATAGAGTTAATTAGTACAGCTAGGTATCTTTTTTTTTTTTTTTTGCCAGTCCTAGGGCTTGAACTCAGGGCCTGGGTACTGTCCTGAGCTTCATTTGCTCAAGGCAAGCACTCTACCACTTGAGCCACAGCGCCACTTCCAACTTTTTTGGTTTATGTGGTACTAAGGAATCGAACCCAGGGCTTTCTGCATGCTAGGTAAACACTCTACACTACACCACATTCCCAGACCTAGGATTCATTTTTTTATATGTTGCCATCTTACTGTGAGATGCTGAAGTCTAGATACCATTCTAGGATCAGCCAAGCCCCTTGCAGGGTGGGAGACCATTGAGTCTTGGCAGAGTGAACTAGGCCTAGCTTGCCTTTTCTTGCCTGTGATCTCCCCTGAAAGGAGAGCTTGAGCTCTGGTTCTAGAAAGATGATGAATCAATGACAAATCCACCTCTCAGGAGGGTGACCTAGAAAGTGCAGACAGAACCCTTGGTAACCCACAGAGGAGGCTACAATATGCAAATAAAAGGACTGTGGTCTTCTTTCTGATTGGCTGACAAAGCCTTGATGTCACAATGGGTAGTATCTGGCCACTCCAAATGATTATGCCTCTAGCCCAAACAACTCATTGGTCAGGCTGTTCTCTTAGCCCCCTCTTTTGAGGAAGAAAGGCAATGGAACCCCTGTTTCAGGCTAGTTCCATTCTCATGAAAGTCAATACTTTACAAGGGCAGAAGATGGTGGAGAGTGGCCTTCAGTCTGGAGACTTTTCCCTCTCCCAGTCGTGGCCCTCCTGCCTTCTACCCCCGGCTGACTTGGAGAACCTCCAGCAGAAAGTGGTCTTGGTGCAGCGGGAGCTGGAGGACTTTAAGAAGGAGGTGTTGAAGGCCATCGGTTATCTTGAAGATGCCTTCTGCGAGATGAATAGCATCCTAACGCAGCAAGAGGAGCAGGCGGCCCGCGTGAAGCAGAGGCTGAGGGAAGAGGAGGACCGAGGCATCGTGCGCAACAAGGTCCTCACTTTTCTGCTGCCAAGGGAGAAACAGCTTCGGGAGCACTGCCAGCGGCTGGAGCACATGCTTCTGGGCAAAGGTCGAGACATGCCGGCTACCACCAGGAATAACCAGGCAGATTGACCTACCACCTACCACCAGTGCGGGACCAGCCCAGCTGAGTGGACACTTTTTTTGTTGTTTTTAATGGAAGGACAAATGCTAAGTCCTCACCCACATTTCTCTTTCTCTTTTACAAAAAAAAAATAACAGCTTATAGAGAGCCAAAAAAAGACCTCGATATGTGTTTTGGGTGAAGTTCCATTTATCCAGCCTCATCGAGGAGGGAGGCACCCCAAAACTACCTCTCACACACCTGTAACTTTCACTGTGAACCCTTTCCTGTTTGTAACGGTAATATTGCTGGGATGGATGGCATTTTTTTTGTATATTCTTAAACTGTGTTGAATAGACTTACCTTTGAATGACTCAAGACTCCTAACTATTTGTCATTTCATGCATGGCCTACTGAGATCTGTCATTGTATGGTCTACCTTTGCCGGTTTATTTGCCTGCATATGCAAATGGTCCCAGATGGCTTTGGTTTTTATTATTCTTGCCCTCACTTGCTTGGGCTTCCTGGTTGTTTTCACACTGGACTTGTTCCTCTCCTACATCGCTGTCTTAGGCCACTTCTGTTTCCCCTCCATTTAGTCTGCAGCCTGGACCATCTGATGGACAAGCCTCTTAAGCCTTTGGATGAGTGGTCCTTTTCGAGCTCTAGTGCACTGCTGATGGGACCCCTATAAAGGGGCACAATAGTGACGTGGACTTCCACGTTTGATTCATGGGTTAAGACTTGCTATGGTTTGGGGACATTTATCAGACAGTATACACTCCATACCCTAGGAGCCTCCTGTTCCTATGGTCGACATGGGCAACGGACCAAAGGCGGTGGCTGAGGCTTCTTCTCAAAGTCTTCCAATGTAGGCCACCTGTGCTCATTTACCATTCTGCTGTTCCCGACCCCTCAACCCGAGGTGATTTTGGAGATGTCTGAGATGATCTGAGATGATCTGCCTGAGATGATCACATGGGTGATTTGGGGGGGAGGGTCATTAGTTGTCCCCCAGTACCTTATATTTCTCATTAGCCTTCTGTTTCATTGCTTTACATATCCTTTCTCTGGCCCTGGAAATACTGTCACGTAGTAGCTATTGTAGCCTTTAAACAAAGAGCCAGCCTGAGGGGTGGGGCCTCCTCTCTCCAGCCCAGGCCTTACTTACAGACTAGCCCATACCCTCTGACCTCCTGCGGCAGCCTCATCCTTCCTCTCTCCCATAGACTCTCTCCAAGAAAAGCCTGAACATCTGCAACCCCCAAGTTGAACATCACAAAGGGATCTGGTGACTGTGGCTAATTGCAATATCTACCCATTAGCCATCTGTCCAGAAGGGCTGTATCCCTTAGTCTAACTGTAGGCAAGTTTCTATTTGGGAGAGTTCACTGAACTAAAATAATATCCATATTACTATTAATATAGTAGCTTAGTCATCCGGATTATTATATATTCCACGCCTCGTGCTTGATCCCTTTGAAGGTAGGTCTTTGGAGATTCAGAAGACACCAAGGGTCAGGAACTAGTAGACTTGGGATTCGAACTTAGGAATGTCTAGTGTTCAGAGTCTGTGCTCTTCACTACTCTGTGGTCTTTTTGGAAGCCTTGTGGATGTTTGATAAGCCCTTCTGGAGTGGATAAAATACGGAGCTGAAACTATTATGGTTGATCTCTGGGAGAAAGGATTGTTTTGTGGAGATGACTGCTGCACTCCTGAACCTTGTAGGGAAGGCCTGTATGTGTGCGCGCATGCGCATGTGCGGATGTTTACATATGTATCAGAAGGAGAATCTGGATGGCTAATAAAGAAGAGGTTTAAGAATTTCCCTGAGGAAATAGGATCTACTGCTAATTCAGGTGGGGAAGGAGTGAAGTCGACTGCAGGCTCCATCTACAATGCACCTGCCCAGGGAATGGCGTGTGTGTGGGAATTCTGAGAGAAAGACCAGATATTTATGCCATGTTTGGGGTCATCTGTATTTCATTCTGGCTCAGCATTCAGATACCTGGCAGCCTGGAGCATGTCCGAAGGATGGGAACAGGCCGGGAGACCCTGAGGAAGTGGAACAAGAGAGGGACCCGAGGAGCTTGGAAAAATTATTTTGAAGGGGAATCGAATCATGATTTTGCAAATATCAGGAAAAAACCCCTCAATATCACCCCTCTTTTTTTTTCTGCTGTCATTAGCAACTAGTTGAATGCCAAACAGAGGAGCTAAGCAATGAAGACAAACTCTCACCTTCGTGGCTGATAATCCTGCCCAAGCTAGTGGTTTAGGAACTGTTGGCCACACGGGCTAGCTGGGTCCTCATTGCCAAAGTTCCTGTGTTTCTCAGGCCTGGTGCAGACAGTGCGGACACTGCGAGTCTCCTGAAGGAGGGCTGCTGAGGAGTGTGGAGTGATCTGTCTGCAGGTAGACTGGATGGCCAGGTTCTGGCTGCCCTCTCTCCAAACCCACCAGTCAGAAAGTCCTTCCCTCTTATCTGTGGAGGTGGAGAGGCAAAGAGAAGCTAAGAACTCTCCTGGAATGCAGGTTCCACTTTACCCCGCCCCTTCATCATGAAGGAGGCCCCCAACAATGAGGCGAAGGGTTAGATTGAAGCTCCCTACTTCTAAAGGGTAACATTACTGATGGAAGAAATATTAGTAGGTGACAGCTTTCAACCTTATGCAGGAAGTGGATATGATTGTGTGTGTGTGTGTGTGTGTGTGTGTGTGTGTGTGTGTGCACGCGCACGTCTAAACCTCCATCTTAGGTCTGAGATAAGTACATCTTGGAAAACCTTGTATAGGTTCAGAACCACCCTCTAAGTGCTTGTAATACATTGTCTGATAGCAGTATCTTTGTTTCTCTGGGGTCTTCAGCCACATCAGATAGTTTGTGCTAAGGTGATTTATGATGAGGACCCTAGGTGAGCTGTATCAGTTTGACCAATGGGGGAAGCTGCAGACTAGATATCACTAAGGTCAGCTACACAGTGGTTCCAAGCTATGTGATAAGCCCCAATAAAAACTCTGGACACCAAGGTGCAGAGAAGCTGCCCTGGTCTTCAGTACTTAGTGCACTTTAAGCATCATCTGTTCAACTAGAAGCTAGCCTGGTCACCTCTGGACCTTGTCTTCCGGGCTCTTTATTGGCCCGAATCTGGGTCCTGTTGTAGTTGACTGTCAACCACAAGGATTTTGCATAGTCTAGTGAGTCTTGAGGACCCACCACAGAGACATGTGCGCGTGCCTGTTTTGAGACATCGTTTTCATAATGGCCATGTGAGTTGAGAAGATTAAGTGGTCTCAGAGTCCTAGTGGGCTCTTGAGTAGCTCTCTTGACCTCTAGCCTGCAGCAAATGGACTTGAAGTGGTGGGTTGTTTCCCCTTGGCTGGAAGATTCTTTGGGGATGGCCCAAGGCTCCTAGCTCCAAGTGAGTTTTACTAGAGTGATAATGACAAAGACATACTGGGGGAAGAGCCAGGAGGCTTATGAGTGTCTCTTGGAGAACCGGGTGCACGGCTGGGTACAGGTTGGGTTGAGTGTCCTATCTGGAAACTACATGAATGTGTTGTGTCTTTTCATAGTCTTTTCTGCTGAAGTCTTGGAAACCTCATTCTCTGTCAAGAGCTATTAGCTACAAGTCACAGGATGTCTGTTGTGCTGTCTTTTTGAAGTTGTCTCCCTGCACTCCCTTTATAACAAGACAGCCCAAGTAGATGGCTGACTGAGTAACTCAACAATGACAAGGCTCTGGGTTTGCCCCTCAGTCTCTCTCCCCCTTCCTCCCTACCTCACGGTCACACGATGGCTGCAGGAACACCACAATTGTATCAAGTGCTCAAGTGCTCATAAGGCAGGCAAGAAGTGGCAGACCTTTCTTTGTAAGCCTGGGTAGGGGCTCATAGACCTCCAGTGCTGTGGTACTGAGCCATTGCCTTCCCTTGTTCCTGGTACCCATGCTTTACCCTAAAGTCAGAGACTTTAGCTGCCCCCAAGGACACCAGGAAAACTCTGAACTCCCACAATCATTGAAATAGGCAGCTCATCTTAGAGATCCGACGCTTGTGTTATCAGTGGTCCCCACCCAGGGTGATGGACTCGTCCCCATTTAACTTAGATGGTCCTGGTTTACAAGGAAAGACCCCTAGGCCAGGAACTCTGTAGGTCTTGAACAACCCAGGATGGTGGCTCATCTTCCTTTAGACATGAAACAGCTTGAGAAGATTCAGGTGTCACTGTGCCTCACCTGCAAGTCATGGCAGATCGGGGCAAGAAACAAATGTCAGAGTGCTCATCTTGCGTGGCAGGTACATCTATGTTCTGTGTGTGTGTGTTTTCCGTCGGTTGTGGGGCTCAAAGTCAGGGCCTGGGCACTGTCCCCAGGCCTCTTTGTGCTCAAGACTAGCACTCTACCACTTGAACCACAGCACCACTTCCAGTTTTTGAGTGGTTTATTGGAGATAAGTGTTTCACGGGGACTTTTCTGTCCAGGCTGGCTCCAAATCTCGATCCTCAGATCTCACCCTCCTGAGTAGCTAGGATTACAGGCGGGAGCCAACGGGCACCAGGCTGTGAGGGGACCATGCTGATTGGTTGGCTCATCTGATTGTCTCTGCTTTCATTCCTTCTCCCCATTCTCAGTCCTTTGCTTACAACCTCAGTGGGGTTTGAGAGGGACACCTTTTCCAGGCCTCTATGGAGCTCCTTCTGGGAACAGCTGGGGCAGAGCTGAGACCAGGACCTGGGGGACAGAGGAAACTCACAGGAGCCTAGAGAGACAGCCTCGTGCAGCATTAGACGGCGGAGCTCCTCACTCTCCTCCCAACTGTGAACAATATAGTTGAGCAACCCAACTGCTCACTTTCTCTGCAATTCTCAGGCAGATCGAAGATAATGTAACAGATGGTTTTTCTCCCCACCAATAGCCAGAGTTCTCCAAGGTTTCCTACAAGCTGTAACGCTCTGCGTACCCCTCCTGAGCACGCCCCGCAGTCAGAGGCTGCAGAGGGGGACCCCAGACATACAGCTCCGTCACAT